GGCTCCCCCACCTGGGCATAGCGGGCATCACCTGGCCCAATAAAGCCTGGCTAGACAGCAGTTGCCCCAGTGGTGACCGGGACACGGGATCCAGCTCCTCCCGAAGGAGGTCTTTGCTCTACGTACACTTGCTGTTGTGTCCTGCTGACCCACTGGATGAGTATTTCTGTGCAGCTATCCTTGTAATCTTATTGATCAAAGTTTTGACCCACACTGTTTTTTTTTTTTTTTAGAATTCATTCTCTGGGCTGGCGAGATAGCTAAGTGGTCTAAAGTGCCTGCTTAGGCAAGCTTGGGTAAAGGGCAGGGATCATGGTTTGATCCCCCGCATGTGGGTGCCTCACTAGCCCTGCCCCTTGGGTGGGCTGAGCTGGCAAGAAAGAAAAGAAAAGAAAGAAATCTTTGATTTGGGGGAAACACAAACTTGGCATATCTGACATCTAGCATGTTGAGAGTTATATTATTTCCCCTATATCAAAATGTTTGTTTACTTTCTGTCAAAATATTTACCCATGTCTAATTCAAACTAAATACTCTGTAATTATGGATAAAGCTTTTTATTTAAAGAAAATTAGATTATATATACATTTCACAATTTAATATCTGGCTAAACAGTATTCTATTAACTCCCTGAATGTGTTACCTTGGTCTTGTTAATATGGATGCCAGGAGATGGCGGGGGCCAAGAAGAAAGAACCTGGGATATAGCTCAGTGGCATAAGCACCTGCCTGGCAAGCACAAGGTCCCAAGTTCTATTCCTGGTACCACGAAAAATAAATAAATACATACATAAATAAAGCAACAAAGTGCTTCCAAAACCCCCAGTGTATTGAAGGAGAGGAAATCAAAAGCCACATAGCTAAATTATTCAAAACGATGAAAGCGGAAATTAAACTTCAGATCAATAACACGTTCAGAGAGCTTAAAGAAGATATAACTAAACAGTTAAGGGACGTACAAAATGAACTGACAAGTGAGTTTAATAGAAGACATTAATAAAACAGCTTGATGAGCAAAACAATACCTGAATGTACACTATTACACAGAAATGGAATTCATGAACAGACAGCAAAGAGAAACCCATGAGTTTAGGAACAACGGAAAGTAGGGGCAGCAGAAAGGGCCCCCGGGAGGGGACAGTGTCAGAGCCAGAGGCCCGACTCCAGCTTCTGCTCACGCTGTCTCCTCTCCTAGCTCTGTACCGCGGCACAGGGACCCCGGAGCTGACACTCAGTGAAGAGTATTTCATGAAATGCCACACACTTGGAAAGGGTAGGTAGGAAACCTAAGGGAGCATCTAATTTTATTTTTAATGAACTTTTGGTTTTAGAAGTGAGTCAATATAAAACACGGCTGTCCAATGAAAATAGTCCTGCAGAACACCCTCTTAGTTTATCTCACAAAAAATGGCCTTTCTTGGGTGATAACTGCGAAACAGAAAGTCAAATACCATTGAACTGTAAATAATCTGTGAGGCAGACAAGAAGAGTGCCGTGGCCCCTTCTCTTGCTTTGCCTTAATCCCAAGCAGCAATAAAATACAATCCACAGAGCCACTTAGGGACAAGGAAGGTGTGAAGGGATAGTCTCTCCATCCACAGGAAAAAGAAAAGCGGAGAATCCCTCGTGGGTGTCCAGCACATGTTTACGCTCCCCAGTCTGTGTGGGGACCCTGCAGCCACTTTCACAGAAGTGCTTATACTTAGCTGAAAGCAAACTGCCTTTAGGAGGCAAAGCAGCTGAAATGTGGGGTAAAGGCACCCGCACTTTCTTATACCCACAGCGAAGCAAAGGTTGATCCAGGGGCTGGTGAGATGGCTCGGTGGTCTAAAGCACCTACTTGGAACAAGCTTGGCAAAGCATAGGGACCACGGTTCAATCCCCCAGCACCACATGCCAGCCAGCCCCGCCCCCTGGTGGGCTGAGCTGGACACACACACACACACACACACACACACACACA